TCACCACCCACCCGAAGCTCCTCGGTCTCCACCTCTTCCGAATCACCCGTCAGCCTTCACGACGAACCTTCAGAAGCGATCCTCCAGCGCTACGACGCAGACCAGGGCGCCAACGTTGTATATATCAATGGCCCTCACTCGTACGTCCCCAAGCAGCAACACGCACTCCCGCTGTACGACACCCAGCCCTCAAAGAAGGTCAAGACCTCAGCGGGCGGCATCTTCAGCAGGATGTTCGGCCAGACCGGCGCCTACGCCGGCCGCCAGACTACCTATTAATGCTATTCGCTACCACACCACCCTCGCTTCAACAGCCTAACGACTTTCCTTATTGTTCCCCAATGACATGATCTGATGGAAAGGTGCTCACTGGATGGACATCTCTTCGCCCATCTCGTCATCTCTTCTTGCATTGGCCGGCGTTATAACACAATCTCAGCATTTGCATAGCACAGCATTGTACCGGCGTTGGGATATCAATCAAATCGGAATCTTGAATCGCATCTATATTGCGATTCTCGGCGCGACCGCCTCATAGTAGTTTAGCTCTTTTATAGCTTTCTCACAGCCCACAAATAACTATATACCGCGGGTCCTCTGACTTGTCAGATGTCTTCGCGAGTAATGGGAAAAAGGAAAAATAAAACATTTTGTTCAAAACACAATTCTTCCGTCTCGTGTTGTTTCCGTCTCCGTCTCGGAAAGTATATTCTTGGCAACGGGCGTTCTCCTCTGTCAGTGTGATTGAATGACTCTCCCTCCCGTGTATCCCTTCGCGGTTCGCAATTTCCGTAAATTGGGGTCTGACATGCGCGCTAGTATGTGGGACGGGTATCTTATCTAGCTAGTGCGGACGGATTTCACTTACGGATAGGTCCCTGGTTTGGTGGCGCACGCTCTTTCTTGACGCGATTCATCAATACGCGACTTTGTCCAATAATTCTCGCATCGCATGATGTTTCTCATGCCGCACCCAAACAGGGCGATCTAATCGCTGTGCGGTAATTCGCGCGATGCGCAAGATGAGCAAGACAGCATACAGGCAGCACAATAACTCAACTAGGCATAAAATCTTGTGTCCATACACATACACAGCATGAAATACACCGGTCACTACTCCTACACAACTACACAGTACAGCCACAACGCCATCCGAGACCTCAGTAAAACGTATACTCGCCAACTCGCGATGCTATCCAGTCGTTCTGCCTTGTACGACACTTTCTGCGGGCCGCATGCGCAGCCACAATAGGCTGACCACCTTGCCGACCACACATGACACTTCAAATGCACACTTCACCTGTATAGCTGCTACAGAGCCTCCGCAGCCAATATATCTCCAGCTGAACCATGAGTTTGAAGACGGCTGAGTCGCGCCGGTCAAGCAGGAAGGCTGCCTCACAACCTCCATGCACCCTCGTCATGTTCGGATCCGAGTCCAATAAATCCCACCCACCGGCATCAGCATCAGCAAACCTGGGAATACGCCATACCACGTCCCACATCTAACCCGTAACCCGTAACCCGGCCTGCAGGAATCTTTTTTACCTCGGCATCTCTCCTATCTAAGCCATCCAAGCTATCCCTTGGTGTAAATCCACAAAATGCCAGATAGCGATGGATGGCACGGCAAAGATGGCAATATACGATATGCAGGAGTCAAGGAGCTTAGGGGGCCCGCGTAGATCAAACGGGTTCTGAGTGGCAGGAGAGATGCGCTAAGCCTGGTTTGGGTATAGTGGGGGGTTTCAGGTGGGTGGCTTGGCGGTAGGGTGTTTGGGTGTGGTTGGTCGGTTCGTCCAACCGAGGAGGAGGGAGGGGAGTTGTGATGGTCGGTATTTGTTGGAATTTGGGATTGGTGAATTGGTGGGCTGGGTGGATGGCGGTGAATCGTTTTGATGTGCATGCAATTGCGCGTTGGGAGCTAGAGATGGAAACTAGAGATTGTAGGTGGTGATGTCATCGACGGTTGTGATCGGGTGGGTCTCAGTGTGCGACGCGGTCGCGTTATGTGTTATGCACGATACTCTTCATCCTCCTCGTTATACTCGAGCTCACGCGTTCCAGCTTATTGGTCAGTCAGCGACGTGCTCCAATTTTCTTGCGATGCGCCAGATGAACCGTTCACCGGGTTTCAATGGCGCAACACCTTGCGGCTCCTAGACCTAGGTACCTGGGACTCCTCCGCTACAATACCCAGGTACCTTCGGCAATCAACGTCCGACGCTCAGTTAGCAGAAGTCCTATACCGTTCAGTGCATACGAAACTGCACAATGCCTTAAGCCCTATATTCATGCTGCGCTCCTCCATCGAGCAACACGCATTACCTGCCAACCCGACAAGAGCAACACAAGAGCGCAACAAGGAGAACCCGTCGTCCTCCAGCTGAATATCTGCACAATAACGATATCTCGTCCTTGTATAAGATCATGCACATCATCAGAGTTATGTGAAGACTTACCGCATGCAGCCACGATCACAGTGGATCCTTCGTCTCAGGCATGAAATCTCGCCGCACCTGATACAACAACTGTCAACACTTGCCTGGTAACACGGGTAGCCTGGCATGCCAATGCCAAACACTCAACCACCGTCTAAGATGGCCAACATGAGGATTCCTTTCGCTTTTTTGCATCTCGTCGCTCGTTCTTCATCCACCTTGAAGGTTTTTCGTTCTTTTCGTAACCGCTGGCCGGTCCCTTTTTCGCTCGTTTTTTTTTAATCTTTTGTAATGGTTCGGCAATTCACCTTCTTACCGGGAGATCGGAGGGATACGGGAGATGATGGCAGGACGGTGCGGTATAGCCATTGGGGACGGTATAATACTTTCTACGGACTTTCGTTTACGACGACGCTTTCCACGGTGCTTTTGCTGGCGCAGCTCAACGAATGCAGGGTTACCGGTCAACTCTTCACTCTTGCGAATAGGTTCCCAGGTTCCGCTGCGTTGGTCGTGCAGCTTCTTGCCGCCTTCTTTGGACTTTTGCATCTCGCGGTTATCTGCAAGCTTATCAACTATGCGCTTCGATTGCGGCTCAACAAGGTCAGCGTTTCCCTGGATGTGTTGCGTACTTGGGTGGATATGAGCATCATGCGCGTGGATTGGGACTTGCCTCTACGGTTCTTCTTTCCTTCTGTCTTTGTCGTTCTTCTCAGTCTTGTGCCGGCGGCGCTCTGGGCTGGTTCGATGACACCGTCGGTATCGCGGACGGTGGATAGCGGCATGCTTTTGATCCCAAGCTACGAAGACGTGTCGATGATCAAAGAGTACCCGATGATGATTGGCAGTTCTGGACCGTCGCTGCGCACGCAAAAGGGCTTCTTCACGTATTCGGTTGGCCAGCAACAGAGCAGTCAGCTTCTGGCATCAGCGGCTCAGGCGTCTTCTTTGGGTGGAGGGCCCCATATCCATCGCAAACTCGACAACACGCAATTCAGCTACCGAGGCCGTTCATATGGGGTCGGAGCATCTATCGGACTCATGGACCAAGGGATCAGGTCGAACAGCCAGGTTGCGGGATACATCTACCAAGAGGAGGGCTATCTGGCAAACGTCACCTGCACATACAACGCAACTTCCAACTTCACTCTGTCCGGACCAGTCAATGAATGGATCTATGCGGCTTCTGGGAATCTGCCTGACAGCGAAGAAGGCCCGGAATACTCAAACTACATCGGCCACGACGGAAAAGCCATCGTAGCGATGGGCGTAGCGTACAGCGACCGCTCACCCCGCCGCTACCTCGCCATTGCTGCTGGTCCAGCATATTCCTTCCTCAACACCACGCAATGCGAATTCGACTTTACACCCACACTTTTCAACGTCACCGTCGACGTCGGTAATCTCAACATCACCGTCAAGCCCGTGCGCACCATGCCTGATTTCAATCCTCAGCGAAACGTCACGCGCACGGTTGTGCGGCAGTTCGAGCTCATGTCTAACGACATGACGAACCTGTATGTTTCACTCCTAGGTGAAGCGTTCAACTCCAGTATCGCGGCATACAAGATGTCAGAGACGTTCAATAATCGGACGTTTACTGAAGAGGAAGCAACACTGGCGGGTCTCACGAATAGCATGGTTGCTATGGCTGATGATATGTTGGTTGCGTATGCGTCTGCGCAGCTCATGGTTGGACGCATGTTCACTCAGCAACCAGCGAAGGTCTACGTCTATGCGCTGCAGTTTGGGCAACCGAGTTACATCTACGCTATCTTCACGCTCAACCTCGTTATCATCCTCGCGGTTGTGTTTGAGGCTGTGCGCACAGCAGCGTGGTCTGCGCTTGGCCGCTTCAACTATCTCGATCCACGTGATCTCATCGTCGCTGCATCAAGAGGCGGAGGCGACATTGCAGCTGCAGCCGATGACATCATGGAGCGGAGAGAAGGGAGGAGGATGAAGCATATCTGGCTATTAAGCGATCCCGACGGGGGCAACGGGTCCCTCATCGTTAACTTACGGGGCGACCAAGACGGACATGTCAAGATCGAAGTGGGCGCTGGACAATGCAACAGAGACGCAGAGAGCGCGTACCCGCCAGACGAGAAGAGCATGTATGTGGAACATGGCGCTGAGACAGAGCGGGGGCCGTTGACACCCAAGACACCTATGAAGATGAAGGTTGGCATTTTTGGGTCAAAGCAATAGAAGACATGGGCTTAAGACATTGCTCAGTGTTCGGCGCTTGGTGCGCTTTGTGGAAGTGGGTGAAAGAGGATGCGTAGATCATTTAATGAGACTTTGTTGAGACTTTGTGGTTTGGTCAGATGATGAGCATGTGTGGACTGGAGTGAGTGACGCTGGAACGTGACGGAGGAGGGTATGCGAGGAAGTTTGGGCCATGGGAGGGGGATATAAGAGGATGAGAGAGTTCATGATGAGTGGACATCAACACAGCATCACATCTTCACTTCCATCTCACAACACCATCACAACAGCATTCCAACCCTTCTTATCATCAAACCACCAACAACCACCCCGATCATCTCACCAAATATGTCCTACCCACGCGTCACACTCAGCGCTACCCCGTCCCACTCCCGCGGCGACCTCGCAAAACTCAACTCGTTCTTCCGGGATGCCCAAACGGACTCCCCACCCTCCCCCCATGAATTCGACGCCTGGTTCTTCGCTCTCACCATCGATGACCGCGCAACCGTCCACGATATCCTCCAACCGCTGCACACCAACTGGCCCAGTCAAGTTGAATACCCCAATGTTATTGCACTGGTGCACTGGTTGCGTGAGCACCGTGCTGAGTACCTTGCAGAGCGAGCTGCTGCCGTTGCGAATGGTGTCCTGACGCCGGAGGTAGAGGGAGGAGACGAGAACTTGACAGTGGAGGGGGTCTTGAAGATGATTGAACAAGTCTTGGCAGCTCATCTGGAACAAGCTGAGGCTGCGCCTACCGTACCTGAGCCCGAACCTCCTGTTCCTGAACCGACTTGCCCCGGCCCTATGGACGAGGAGCCGCAGCCCATTCATCCTCGCCCATATCCTGTTGATGGGATGGACGTTCTGGCCGTTCTCGTCATGGTCTTGGCTCCGGCATGCTTGGTACGTCTCCTGATGATCTTGTTCCTCCTCTCGGTTCTACGACAGGCCTCTAATGGTATGCGACGTCTCTAGATCGGAGTGGCATTGCATCGGCTATGGTTCCGGTAGTTTCTGGACTACGGAGTTTGGGATAGAACTGCTTTGAGGATTTGATTGGAGTTTGCGTGGTTCTTCTTTCTTTACAAACACTCGCTGGTAGACTGACTGACTGGGTTTCGTTGTTGTCTTTCATTCGGGGTGTTCTCGTGGTTTCTTGTGGTTTTTTGTCTTTGCAAACATGTCTCGGTAGGCGTTGTTGGAGTTGGGAGTGTTCTTTCTTGTAGTTGCAAACGTAGACAATAGACAAACCGGAGAGATTCGGGATATAAACGAAGTACTTCCTGTGTATGAGTGAGTCTTCATCCGATAACATCATCCATCACACAAGAACAACTTACAACAACCACCAATCTCAACAACACAATACCAACAATGTCCAACAACAACACCACCCCCGCCAGCGACCCCACCATGGCCGAGCGCCTCGCCTACTACGAAAAGTCCTGCAAGCGAGCAGAGAAGCGTATCGAGAAGAAGAAAGCCTTCGTCGCCAAGTTGGAGGAGGAATATGCGGCTCTTCTAGAGCAGCTCACCGAAGCCAGGCTTGCACCGAATCTAGACATGGAGCGCATCGAAGTCCTGGATGCGGCGATCAAAGCGAACAATACAGAGCTTGAGACTGAGGCTGGGCGACACGAGCAACTGTGCGAGGACTACCAGAAGCTGATCGACATGAAGAATGGGTCGGAGGCGGAGTTTATCGCTCGTGTCACGGAGTATATGGATAAGGAGGCGGAGCGTGACGGTGTTGATGGCGATGGCGAGAATGGAGAGGGCGGGGACGAGGCTGCCTAGGTCGAGCTAAGAGGCACGAGGTATGCAGATGGGGGATGGTGGTATGTGTAGTAGCCTAGAGTAGCTCATTGTCGCTCTCTCACTGAGGTCAGAGGCCGACTCTGGGCTTGCGCAAGGCTTTTCCTTAGAAAATACATGTCTTGACTTGGAACTTGTGGGGTCATTCGCAAAGTAAACGTGAGCATGTTGAAAGCCAAAATGATCGCATTGAGAAGATTAATCGGCGTTGAAAGGCAAATGAAAGTACAAACGGTAAGCTATGCGAGCGCTAGGGACATGAGGTGAAAGCAAAAAGAAAACCAACGATAACAACGATAATAACGATCAAGCTCCCCAATCCGCCATGTCGCTAGTCGTGCCCAAGCTTCAGGTACTCTCATCGAGGACCTGGTCGCAGACAGCGCGGTGCTTGATGAAGAAGACGTCCAAGCCCAACTTGGCCTTGGTACCTGAAGTGAGAAGAGCCTGGATATTGTCGCATGTTTCAGGGTGATGGGCACATAGATCAGCGATGCAGATTGCCAGCTGACCTGTAGCCATCTTGAAAACAGAGTAAGCATCGCAGGCATGAGGCCTGACCTCGGAGACCCATTCTTCGTAACTCTCGTTGTTGAGCGTTAGAATGGCGTGAAGTAGGTCGGCTGCCTCATTGCAGCTGACTCCGGGGATCTCTGGGTCGCACAGGGAATACAGGCAGATCCTTTGATCCTCAGGAGTGAAGGGGAAAGATTCGAAATCAGTGGGAAGAGGTTGTATACTCGCTTGCATCGGCGCCGCGATAGCTCCTGCGCAGAAGCAAGTATCATTGAAGTGTCCGCAGAAGTCGCAATCAGGTTCACACTCGCATGAGGCGGCCCGGGAGATCACCGGAGCATCGATGGCTGGGTAGACTTTCTTCATCTCTTCCATGACTTCCTCGCATGGGAAGCCCATCAGGAGTGAAGCATTCACGGGGTCGCAGACTGTGGGGTATATGGCACGAGCATACGACTCTAGTGCCGATTCATCGCAATCGTCGACTCCAGTGTGGTACCTCCGGACGATGTTGCAAAGTGTTGGGATTACTGAGTGATGTGGGGTTGGTAGGTGTGTTGGCTCAATGTCGTCTGGAGTGTTGCGACCTGCAGGGACGCGACGTCTTGCCGGGTAAAAGACCCTGGCTAGGCATGGACTGTTTCCTGATTTTCGTGGCTCCTTGCAATCCGGGCAGTCTGTTTCGCGAGGTGCAGGCGCAGGTGGTGTGAAAAAGCCCCCGCGCGACGTGGTGGAGGTGGTGTCTGATGGTTCTGGCCTGTGCGGAATTGCTGGTCCTGATACAGTACTCGCTGGCCTGGGCGGAAGAATCACTGACGATGTGTACGGCGCCGGTATGAAACCGGGGGTGGGTTCATCGGAGAACTCAGCGGTCATGCCCATGGTATACGTGAACTTCATGGTATGAGCCTCCCGCGATTCGGAGCCGTCCGTGTCAGATTCGGAGTCGGAGTCGGTATCCTCTGCCACATGATTTGGAAGGTTGCCCGCGTGAGCTTCAGCGCTGTCTGCACCGTGGTGTGTAAGGCCAAAATATGGGTAGTCGTAGCACGACATGATATCGGCAAGAGACGTGGAATCTTTCAATGTAGTCACGCGTGGTGACGTGTCGCAAAGGACAAGCTCAATGTTGTCTTTAGGGGTGCAAACATGTGTCTCAACCTTTGCGGAGCCGTAGAAGCTCTGGTGACAGCTGTGCAAGGCGATCTTGTTGTGGAAGGGGTTGCCTCGAACCGGGGACAGGCCGACCCAGACCTTGTCTAAGGTGTCCATGTCAATCGTGTAGGCGAAGTCCATCTCGTTGGCGCCCCTGTTGATACCTTCGAACTTGTCGGAGATCTTGATGGCAACACCAGGATTGAGGGGGGACCCAAAGTGCCATGGTTCTCGGTACTGACCATGAGGCTTGAGAGGGACGTTTTCGGTGAGTGAGCTGCTGAGCCACTGGGGTACAGACCAGATATAGACAGTGTATGGGCAATGGTTGGTGACGATAGCTCCGGCCTGAGCCAGAGCCGCGAGTGCGAGGACGAAGAAGGCTTGTCCGAGCATTGTGTTGAAAGGGTTCGGTATGAGAGATGATGCAGTCAGCAGTAGCAGTAGAAAACACTGGAGAAGGGGTTGGAGAAGAAGAACAGACTCGGGATGGGAGGTGGAGTTTATGAGCGGTAGAACGTGTGTTTACGTGTCGTCATAACGAACACAGGAAGGCTGTAGCATCGCCCGTTGCTGCCATAAGTTGGACAGATTTGGGGAGGTGCGCCGGATGCGCTGGAAGGTAGCTCACCCATTTCGTGAAGTCTTCCAAGCCTATTGCTACCCCAGCTTTCGGTTAGACACCCAGAGATATCGGTACGCAGCCATAAGGAGATGCCCCAGCCCCCGTAGCCAATTTTTAGATGCTAGCAACGTGTGGAACCATTCTTCGAGGTCCATGGTGCTTGCTCATGTAGCTGGGAGGGCGATCACGATCTCGCAAGATCGCTTTCCTGGCGCAGCAGGTCCAATTCGGGAATTGCCTTCTCCTTACCAGTATGAACTGCCACCATGTCTCGAGAAGGAGAGGACGATCAATAACCACGGTCGGTTAAAGGGAAGCCCCGGGGCCGGAATCTGGTGATCAGGAGATGAAGCGCGTCGGCGCACGGCGGTGATACTTCCCCGCCTGTGCGTGCTTTGGCACAAGGAGAGTTCAGCATCGCGTCATCACCACAGAAACGGTCGCATAGGCCGCCATACACGATGGGTGATCTCTTGAACTCCAGGGTGGTGGTTGTATTGTGGGTTTGGGGTTGGTGTGGACAGATGCGCACGCAAGGGAAGTCGCTTACTCAGCCCCTCACTCACAGATTGAAGCACTCCGGCTAGCGTCCTGGAGACCTGAGGCGCGAATGAAACACTGCAAACCTCAGCATCAGCGACAGTATAATAAGAACAGAATGGCCCCGTATACTGTTTGCGCAAATTGCGCATTCTTACATATCTCACTTCTCGCTCCTGGGTAGCATTGTCGCCGTAGTACATACTTTCAACGTCCGATTCGCGTCCAAGCCTCAACTACGCGCCGACGCGCCCCACCATCCTCCATGATCCAACAATCCTCTTGTATCGACATGCCCACCATGTCTTCCTCAATAAGGGAAGTACCCGTCCAGCTACCGAAGAGCTTCGACCGACCCGACGAGCCATGGCACTACTACATCAATGTCGACCTGATATGGTACGTCCTCGGATACACGGTCTTCCACCCATTCGTATCATGGGTCGTGGTCCTGTGTCTGCGCGCGCAGTACACGCCTTATGAGAACATCGAAATGCGCATTGCCATGGCTTGGGCTATGCTCATGACTGTCACCGGCATCTTCGGGCTCATCAGCGACCGGATCGCATGGGGATCGCCGCGCGAGGTGGATTTAGAGGAAGAGGTTATCGTTATAACGGGCGGTGTTGACGGTCTGGGTGGACTATTGGCAGAGACGTATGGAATGCGCAATGCCAACATCGCCGTCCTAGACATGAAGGAGGTCGATGAAGATGAGGCGGAAAACAAGGGCGTGGTTTACTACAAGTGCGACGTAAGCGATGCAAAGCAGGTTGAAGCTGCCGTAGCCAAGATTGTCGACGACGTGAGTATTCCTCTGCTAGGAAACCATATTTTGCTAACGACCATAGCTCGGCGCTCCGACGATCTTGATCAACAACGCTGGCATGGTGCAGACCAAGTCAATCCTCGACTCAACCGCTGAAGATGTGGAGCGGTATGTATACTCTGGAATCCTAATTGACATCTGCTGACACCTCACCAGCACCTTCCGCGTCAACACCCTGTCTCAGTTCACCACTCTCCGTACAATCCTCCCACACATGCTGAAGGAAGGCCGCGGCACCATCGTTACCGTTTCCTCCGTCCTCGGCCACCTCGGTGCCGCCAACCTATCCGCATACACGGCTTCAAAAGCGGCCCTTCTGGCGCTGCACCACTCGCTTCGCGCGGAGCTTGCACAAAACCCCGCCGCAAAGGACATCAAGACAATCCTCGTACAACCTGGTCAGATGGGTACAACAATGTTTGCAGGCCTCAAGACCCCAAGCAACTTCCTAGCACCTGTGGTTACGCCTGCCGATGTTGGAAAGGATATCATCAAGCTGATCGAGAGGGGTGAGAGCGGCGAGATTGCGCTGCCTTTGTACTCAAAGTATATCCAGATCCTTGGTGTACTGCCTGTTGGCGTGAATCATCTTGTGCGGAAGTGGAGTGGAATGGACAAGGCTGTTGGCAAGATGGGTGAGTTGAGGCAGAGGCAGGGTCTGACAGAGAAGAAATAATGGGCTTGCTGATACCCACGATCTTATGACCTACATACACGGATGGTCTCGGATTAATGTACAATACACGCTCATGATCTATGTGACTTAGTGTAATATGCGACTCCACTGGTATCTATATTTCAACCTTGCGATCACACTTGCTACAGTGTGTTACCATTACGGCATGCGTCCGCATCACGGAAACAATCGTGCCAGTGTTCACATGTGAACGATGGTTTGCGGGGACCACTAGCGCCGTAGGGCTGATCTTAGCGAGCGCTCGCACATCTCGACCCTGAAATCGCGACGACGACATCATCATCACCACAAGTAAATGTAAGAAGATACCGGGCTATTCTTTTTGGTCTAGCTAATTTGCATGCGACACATACTAATTGACTACCAGACTTCCTCTGCCTCAAACCAACACAATGGCCGACCAGAAAGCATCCAAGTACTACGCTGCCGAGGAGGAGGCGCAGATGAAGAAGGTATGCGCATTTCTCGCGATGAATTTTGAGCTGTCGAAAAGACACGCAAATGTATATGTTGGAGTTGTCGCGAATATCAAGCTAACGACCCAATTCACAGGCGCGCAAGACAGCCCACCCCACCAAGTACCGCGAGTCGCTCGCCCCAGGAACCGTCCTGATCCTCCTCTCTGGCCGTTTCCGCGGTAAGCGCGTCGTGCTCCTGCGCCAGCTCGAGCAAGGCGTCCTCCTCATCACCGGCCCCTTCAAGTCCAACGGCGTCCCACTGCGTCGCGTCAACCACCGCTACGTCATCGCGACCTCCACCGTCGTCGACATCGCCGGCCTGGACGAAGAAGTCGTCGCGCGCGTCAGCAAGGACGAGTACTGGGCGCGCGAGAAGAAGGACGGCAAGGGCGAGGACGACTTCTTCAAGGACGGCGAGACACCTGCAAAGAAGGAGACGGATCCTCAGCGGATAGAAGACCAGAAGAAGGTGGACAAGGCGCTTATGGCTAATATCAAGAGGACACCTGATCTGGAGTCTTACCTGGGTGCTAGCTTCGCCTTGAGGAGCAGCGATAGGCCGCATGAGATGGTCTTTTAGGCGTCGGCACGAAAACGGGACATCCGCCAGTACGTTAACGACACGAGGAGGAAGCAAGGACGAGGCGAGATGGAGACGCACACAAGGCGGATACTTGCAGCAACGGTCCCACCGCGAACAACGGTTCGAACGAGGATGAGCACCCGGACGCTACGAGCGATACGGTACGATTTCATATGTAGATGAGATACCCATGAACCAAAATTTGAGCACCAACTCCGTCTTGCTCGCATCTCCGCAAACGATTGCAATCACCCTGGCGACATTCATGCCGTTGACACGCCCACTTACATGGGTATTGCAATTGGTATGGGTTGATGGCCTGCCATTGTATTTTTCGATACTGACCTTCTCCAGGTCAATGCACTCTGATCCAATCGCAGTGCCTGTCTAACATCACTTGTAATGCGGCTTTGTCCTTGGACTTTCGTGGAGTGCAGTGGGCGGCTCTGCGAAAGTGGTTACTGATTCGAGGCTGTGCCTCTAGACTTGCATCCTTTGAATCCACGAATAGCGCACCCTGCATCTCAGATGGTGTGGCAGGCTGCAGTTACAAGCGTGCCAAGTAGCGTGCCTATTGGCAAAGTCGTACAGCGGGTATTTGGGGGCCAGGGGGCCTTATTCTACAGCAGCCTTGTTTAAGCAGCTCAGATCCAGGTACGTACAGATTATCATCCTATCTGAAACTCCCGATTCATCGTTCATTTTCTAATTTCCCTCAACCATGGTCTCTGATGATGGCGAGCTCTCTCATTCGAGCAGTATCTTGGAGAATCGTCTCCTCAAAGAGCACGAGAAGGATCCTCAACCACCACAGTCCCCACACCAATTCTCATGGAAGACCGGATTCTGGCGGCGCTTTCCCCACTCTGGAGTTTTCGCCCTTGTCATCGCGCTGGCTGCAACGGTCAGCATGATTTACATAATCGCCACATCGAACGGTCAGCCTATTACCTCCTGGAAGTACCAACCCACTGTGTGTCTCGCCATATCATACACGATCGCGAACATTGCGCTGCAATATGCTCTCGCGCAAGCTGTCACCATCGCCTGGTGGGTAAAGGCCTTGAAAGGCGACGCGAAAGTCAAGGATCTGCACAATATTTGGTCGTTCGGACATGGGGTCGTCCCAATACTGCGATCGGGGCGGTCTTTCAACCTGGTCGCTCTGGCTGGACTCGCTGTTACACTAGCGCCTATCAACGGACCTCTTTTGCAACGCGCTTCTGTCATCCATCAACGAACCCAAGTCGAGATGAAGAATCTCACTATAAATATCGCAAAAGAAATCCCGGATGGTTTCACGGGAAGAGGCGCGGGATTTGGTAGAGCGTCCCTACTGACTCCCATATTCAGTGAAATTGTCAAACAACACTCCGATGGGCAGCCTATGGTTTTGCCCAACTCTGGCTGTCTAGGTGTATGCAAGGGCACTTTACTAAGTGCAGGATATGACGCGGTCTGTACTCAGAATACCACTAACCCGTACAACCGCACTGCTATTGTAGGAACAGGCGGCAATACAAACGAGACGCACATCTTCTGGTCGAACTTCACTAGTCTCGACAATGGGTATTCTCCCCAAAATCCTGGAGTCTTCATGAGCTACACGGCCATGTTCAAGAGTTCGAAAGCGTGCATCGGGTCCATGAATAGAACCCATTGCGAGTTACGGCCTGCTCTCATTGAGTATCCTGTCATAATCAAGAATGACACCATTACCCTTGACCCAAATGGCTCATGGGAATCGGACAGAACTCAATCTCTCACTCCATTTTGGCATGGCTGGGCTAGTGACGCTAGAAAGAGCACTCATGGTGGCACGTTTCTTTACATGAAGGCCAAGTGGGAATCGAACATGGGTGTATACTGGAACTTTGGTCCCTGGAGCTGGAGATCGAGTACGAGCGGCACGACTATCTTCAATTACATGGCCGACTTGGTGGAATCGACAGCATCTATGGATGATTTCTGCAACATGACGTTTCCGGATCCGACATCTGACGTCCTAAACTCACTCCGCGAGCTCTCCCTTCGAACCGCGCTGTTCATACCGGGCGTGAAGGGTAATCTTAGCAAGTTAACCTCTGTGACCTCCGACTATCTTCGCCCCTGGCCTGAGTCGGAGAGGGAGGGTATCTACCAGCAGACAATATTAGTCGAGCAGACTGGCGAAGCAGTCGTGTTCAAGAGTCAATACCAATTCCTCGCCATTGCCATCGGCATCACGCTGGTAGCCACGGCCTGTGTTTTCACAGTATTGGCGGGATGGTGGCATCTAGGCCGCGAGGTCTCGCTCTCACCAATCGAAATCGCAAAAGCCTTCAATGCGCCGCTTCTTGCAGAGTCGCATCCTAACGCGGAGGTCAGAAGGCTGCTCAAGGAATGCGGCGAGCAACAGTTGAGGTACGGTGTAGTGTGGGAGAATCCTGACTATCCCGTGACTTCGATACCGACGCTGAGATTGGAGAAGACGGAGCTTTGTGAGAAACCGCGCAATAGACAGGTGTTAGGTCGTTAGCCTTATCTGTGCGCAAGAACCACAACAGATCATCAGAAGGCGACTTTTGGTGTTTTCAGATTCATGCATCCAGATAATCCGTCGCTCTCGTGTTTCCTCGATCGTTCGGATGACGTTTGTAACTCGTGGCAGCACCTGCCCTGTAAGAGAGCGCGGTGGCGTCATTGTGGGATGAGGCGGTGGCTGAGACTTCCTACAACTGCTCATGTACTACCTCGCGACTACTTCTTCCAACGAACCCCGTTTCCTTGGCGATGAGAAGAAATCATTCCATGTGGATACCATCAGGCCATGCGATAAGGTAGTGACAACGCCACAGCATGACCTCACTCTCGTGCCAGCTACATGTCAGCCACACTCAACCTGGACATACACTCTATTATACCTTTACCTACGCACTCTTTTGCCGACTAACAACGGTCCGATGCGTCCTCTTCAGGAACTGGCCCAGGATGCCAGCGGCCACGCCAGTCCCAGTAATCACGAAACAAGCGGTTCTTTCAGTAGCACCACCCATAGTGTTGTATCTGATGATAGCGCACACGATGTACGTGACTGCCTCAATGTGGAAAGAGCCACAACTAATGATATACGATAGGAGAAGCTCGTACAGTTTCTGGCATCATCTACCCTCGATGAGACCAGTACTAGTAGTTTGCTCAAAACGTTCTGTAGGGACATGGAACAGCCGGTGTATTCATCACTAGGGGGTCGATGTAGGTTCCTCTTGCTCCGTCTCGTTCTCCAATACTGACATGAGCCAGACAAGTACCGGTCCGCTGATGGAAGCAACAACAACATCCACCTGCCTAACGTCGGTAAGGCTGGTTCTTACTACGCGCGCATGGTCACCCCAAGGCATATACCTACAAAGCTTCCCGATCCAGAACTGCTCTTCGATACACTGCTCGCGCGAGAAACCAAGCCAAAGCCACACCCCAGCCAACTATCGAGTCTGTTCTTTGCCTTCGCGGCTGTCATGGTATGCGATGTGTTTCGTACAGGCGACGAAGATAATGATGTGGCCATGACATCTTCATACTTGGACCTATCGTCACTATACGGGGAATCAGAGGAAGCACAGAGCTCTGTTCGCACCTTCGTCGATGGGAAGTTGAAGCCTGATGCGTTCGCTGATACAAGGATCCTCAGCCGGCCCGCAGCGGTAAGATACGAGCTCAAGTCTGTTGTGCAATTTCTCATTATCGATAGTCCTCTGCCCTGATCGTATGCTTTTCGCGGTTTCACAACATCGTTGTCGAGCAACTGGCCATCATCAATGAGAACGGTCGATTCAGCCCTCCCTGCAACGCGGCTGGAATCGACACTGGGTTTTACAAGCGAGCTCTCAGCAAGCGTGACAACGACCTCTTCCAGACTGCACGGCTGGTAACGACGGGATTATACATCAACATTGTCCTGAAAGACTACGTGCGCACGATTCTCAATCTACAGTGCGTAGATTCTTCGGTGACCTTGGATCCGCGAGCAAAAATAGAGGGTATTATCGGGCAGACAGACGTTGTTAAGGCCCGCGGCAACCAGACAAGCGCCGAGATCAACATGATCTATCGGTGGCATTCGACCATATCGAAGAAGGACGAGGACTGGCTCACAGATCACATGTCTATGATATGTCCAGATATGAAGATTGGCCATCTGACATTGGAAGACATGCGAGCTGGCATGCGTCGACATGCTGCCATACCGCCTGCGGATTCTGGTCGGCGTGTCTTCGCTGGTCTCGAAAGGAAGAACGACGGTTACTTTCGCGATGAGGATATCGTCCAGATACTCACAGAAGCCACGGATGAAGTTGCCATGAGCTTCGGCCCACATCGGGTCCCTCTGGCGTTGAAGGTCATCGAAGTAATGAGTATTGAGCAAGGTCGGCAATGGGGCGTAGCTTCTCTCAATGAGACCAGAAGATTCTTCGGGATGACGTCTCACACCTCGTTCAGCGATATTCACTCCGACCCTGACGTCGCTGCCGCGCTCGAAGTCTTGTACGAAGATGTTGAGAACGTCGAGCTATATGCCGGAACTATTCTGGAAGAGCCAACTGCCCCGATGACTCCGGGATCAGGATTGTGTGCAGGAACGACGGCGACCAGAGCAGTGGTGTCACATGCGCTCTCTCTTATTCGGGGTGATCGATTCTACACCGTGGACTACACCCCGCACTACCTGACAGCTTTTGGGTTCAACGCAGCTTCCAGCGAATACTCAATCGATGGCGGAGGTGTCATGTACAAGCTACTGATGAGAGTCTTTCCCGAATACTATCGTGGCAACTCGATTTACGCGCACTACCCGCTGACCACGCCTGTGGAGATGAGACGACGACAGAAGTCTCTCGGGCACGAGACAGATTTCTGCTATGAGAAGCCGCGCTACGGGTCGCCTCCCACAGTCATCACCGATTACAAGATGATCCTCCGTATTCTTCGTGACCAGACTTTGTACACGACAGCGTGGACTCACACCCTGCGGCAATTGGAGTATCAACCACATGTTCTGCTTGGTAACACTATCGCTGCCGTCAAACAGCAGGACATCATTCGGCAAGCTATACTCGGCCCCGAGGAGTCGATAGAAATCTTTGCGCACTTCCTCAACCTGAAGACCACCCAGCTCGTGCAGAACAACAGCAAGTGGCTTTTCAAAGTTGCCGAGATAAATGCGATCAAAGACGTGGCAGCTCGCAGTTGGACACAATTTGCTGCGTGTCTGTTCAACATCCCGATCAGCGACTCGCAAGATTCAACGGCCAGCTTTGATGACAAGCAGCTCTTCAGCAAGATGATAGCAGTATTTCACTTCGTTCATCTAGACAACAACCCTGCGAATTCTGCCGCATTGCGGAGGGATGCAATCACTGCAAGCGATGAAATGTCGAAAGAGGTCAGGGTTGTTTGCGAAGGAATGAAAGCATCACCCGCTGTGCAATTTCCGGATCCCCGTAAGCGACGACATGCGAAGCGCAATCTCATGCCAGACCATGGAGCGAAAGTGATGCAACGGCTCTTCGATAATGGGGCAAAGGTCAAAGAAGTTGTCTCTCTAGTGGTCATACTTGCCGTAGATCTTGTCGTGTTCAGCACCTTTGCTGTAAGTCTACAAGTCGCTTCAAGCATTCGCCCCGGCTGACCATTACTAGTTCTGCCAAGTCATCGATCTCTTCCTCTCGGAACCTTACCATTCTATGCACTGGCCAGACATCCAAAAACTGGCGAAAGACATTACACCAGCAAACTCCGAGGTACTGCGCGCATATGTGCTTGAGGCTCTGCGCCTTATCACACCCGCAACTGGCTTCCTTCGCATCCCTAATACCTTTCTCACCACTAGCGACTGGCGACACGCAGAGGGTATTAACAAGGGTGATGACCTTATCCTCGACGTGGCTACTGCATCTCGCGATCCCGCTATCTTTCCTGACCCCGACAACATCAACCTCGACCGTCCACACGAGCTGTACCTACCATTCATCGACGGGTTGCACGGAGCCCTGACCAGGCCTATCATCGTTGCTGGTTTAGTCACCCAGTTGCGTATCTTTGCTCGAATGGAAGGTCTCAGAAAGGGGCCGGGTACGCAAGAGACGTTGAGGCGGGAGGTTCAAGAGGGTACTGTAAGCTTTTTGAGCGAGGCTAAGGATGAGTGGGTGCCACTGCCAGTCAGTAAGTACAGGTTCGCTACATGAACTGTTCGTGGGCATTCTAATCATCTGGAATAGGCATGCGAGTGCACTACGACACCTTCGACCCTACTGCATGCGCGACCTTGGCATGATGAGTACTATGATGGACATCATAGGGTTGAAAGAATGAAAGAGACGCCACACCTCCAACCAAACGAGTTACATAGTAGTCTCAAAGATGCATCCTTAGTCTCCTACTACTACACCCCCGCTTTTCTTCACATTCGTATCCCGCGACTGGTTCCACATTGGTCATAGATTTCCTCTAATCCCTCCAGCTCTGTATCTAAGTATCTGGATCGAACGAATCACCGTGAGTGAAATAACACCCAGGTTCTTGTCGACTCTTGTAAGGAAACGCGCATACCGTTCCGCACTGACATTTTGGGGGCCTATTGAAAGGTCAGCACACATGCGATACAACTCATCCGTACCTCGGTACTCACAATTCTTCATCCGGGGTATCAAAGATGGCTTTCAGCGCCGCTTCCTGGTCGTGATCGCGCTGGCCCTTGAAGATCGCCTCCCATTTCTCTTTTGTAACCGTCTTCACAGCACCGGTCAACGTGACTGTTAGTTTCTCTTTCGACTCCTTTTTTTTGCACTTGTCGATTAGAAAGGGATATGCGAAAGTGCAGATCCAGTCCACCATCGTACGCTGACAGCAAATGTAACCCTCCCCTCCATACCGAGAACATGGGTTCATTTCGTATTCACTGCCCCATTGGCTGCCCTGGTAGCCGTCATCCGTTGTTCGAAAGCGAAGACGTAAGTCGCGGAGGTTGTCAAGCTTTTGAAGATAGGGACCTTTAGACTTGGGCCATTTAGACCCAATTCCGAACGGGTGATAAATCATGTTGACACCGAAGAAAGTAAACCAGTCTGCATTAGTGAAGCTCAGCTCGACTTTACTCAGGTATTGGTAAGCTGCAGCTGAGCCCGGTTGCGCTTCCGTGGCTAGGGTAAATAGCTTTGGCTCGAAGAATCGGCTACGCATTCGTACCCAGGCGAAGTGAAGAAACTCGTCGCGGATAGTGGAGTTGACTGCCGAAAGCGAGATATCTGGTTCGTATACGAAAGGTCGATCTTCTGACATCTGGTCGTTATCCCACGGAGACGCCAATAATGCGTCACCCTTTCTATGCCAAAACAGACCCCGGTGATAGCCCAATCCCAACGTTAGCTGGGCTCCAGGTTCGGGCGTTCCGTCAAGAGGAGAGAGATCGCAATCTTCAGACTCAAGGGGCGAGCCTGGGCGACGAGCAGCGATGCAGTGGCTGCTTAGCGGGTATACTTCATCGCCAATAGCGGCCTTGTAAATCTTCTCGCGGATCTCGGCTGGAAAGTCCTCGAAGCGACGTTTGCTACCCTTATGTTTATACCACCTAAACTGCAAGTGATAGCCAAGGCGACCGAGCCATTCGCGCGACTTGATGTTCTTCGCGAGCCAGTCACCGAAAGACACCCACTCCTTCTTGTATGTCTCGTAGATGTGGACAGTCTCAGCAGTCGGTGGCGAGCCGCTCGGCAAAATGGTAACCCATTTCGCCTGTTTCACGCTATCCTTCTCAACGGCTTCAAAGTAGTAAGACTTGATATCGAAGAGATTCATATAAGGCGGCCAAAGCGGAGGCGCATCGTTCACAGGTCGAATATTGACGCGCAGAGCGAAAGCGGCGAAGTTGTGTTTCTTCGGCGCGATCATCGTACGATACATCTCAGCGAGTACAGGATCGTTGAAGTGCCATCCTTTGTTAAACTCGTACGTGGTCTCGTCGGCGAAGCGGCCGACTTGTCCATCGCGTGGACATTGCATCATCTCGAGCGCACAGGTGATCTTGTCGTTGCGCGCATCTGGAAGAACGCGGTTGTACCTGCGAGGGCGCTTTGCGAGATCGTCGTCGGCTGGAGGGTCGAAGACTGCTAGGCGGCTTAAGAGGAAGCTTGATGCTGCTGCGTTGAGCTTTGAGGACTTGACGGGCACGAAGGCGGGTGCTGTGGCGGTGAGCTTTGAGCTCGTTGCCCCCACAGCGGCTTCGAGGAAGTTGTCAGGGTTGTGTCGCTGGGTGGCGGAGTCGAGAGTAGTCGCATTCGAGGCAAGAGTGTTGTACTCGTGTTGCCAGTGCTCGTAAGAGTCGTATGGTGGGCTAAAGGGTGTCATCTTGAAGCTGCTCGAGTATTGTTGAACGGGATAACCGTGATAGCCGACGGGCGAATGCGCATGGTAATTCCAATACTGAGATGGTACGAACAACGGTATCCGAGGAAGAGTAGGACTAGCCATGTCGTGTTCGGTACCTGACTGCGAGTGGTAGTCAGGGTGGAAAGGCTCTGTAGAGAGACCAAAAATAGCCATTTCGGACATCGGGTTAGAGTTGAGGAAGTTGATGGGCCTTGTAATTGAGTGTTCTAATAGACAAGGGCTTGATAGATCCGAGCATATGCACAGGGAGGTGATACTAGCGCTGGATAATAAAGACGGTCTGTGCATTCTGCTGTAGGCAGTAGTAATAGGGAATGGAGTGGCGTATACAGAGGATTCGTTTTACTTTCTCCGATTTCTTCCGTGTTAGTTGGGTTACTAAACATACGGAACGACTGGTCAAAATACCTGGTGTATTAGATCGTGGCAACACAAGTTATTGCTAGGCTATCTGTACGTAATGTTGAAGGCGTGTTTGAAGCCGATGAGTATCTCAGGGCGCGATAAAGCCGGATGAAGTAAGTTCTTGGTATCTCTAACGTCTTGGAAGCTAGCTTTGAGTTTCATGGGGCGAACAGATGAGTAGGGTTCATGTCCAAATCCTTCTTGTTCGATGTGTGCAGATTGCGATCTTAGTCGCTAAAGCTTCACTCATTCTTCGTCCAGTGAAGAAGCATCCTCAATTACAACACCTTCTATCAGGACTCCAATGGCTATCCGCATTTGACAATATCCGGTGTACCCCTCCAGCTCTTTGATCAAGGTCATCTCGCCTTGCGACGAGCCTGTTGGACTGGATGCCTTGATCTTCCGAGATCTGGATGACATGCTCCTGGTCTTGGCTCGCTCAAGAAGCGTCACCCTATTCCTCGCAGTCGAAATCGTCAGGCCGAGGTAACTCGTCCCAAGACAAGCCGTGATCGTAGTGAAAGTAACGGGTATCACTCATGACCTGGCAAGGCGTGCGACAGAAGCATGGAGGTGGGCTATCACTAATTTTAGCAAATGAACAGCGTAGAAAGCTTTCTGAGGATGAGTAGGTGCTTACATATCTGCTGGGGGGGGTGTCGAGAATAGCCGCCTGCTCGACAGCGTGGTCCATGATGCCGATTTTGTCCCTTGCAGGTAGCGCAAGGAGTTTATTCCACTTGCCCTTTGTGTCCTTCTTCAGGATACCGCCTAGTCTCACCTTTGGTAGATCCTTTACAAATGGCCAGGCGAACGTCATGATCCAGTCGACCATCGTACGTTGACAACAGGTAAAGCTGTGCTCAACGCCCCAATTGACATTACGCATCCCAGAGGGATAGTAACATGCTCCATCCTCCGGGCTTCGAAACCAAAGCTGGAGAGTTGACAGTCCGTTCAATGTAGGAAGAATAGGTCCAAGAGATACACCGCTGTCCATGTAGAAGTTTGAACGCACACGTACGCCGAAGAAACTGAACCAATCGGACATCGTGAAATCGAGAATGAGATGATTAAGCCAGTTATAGTTCGGTTTAGTACTTGCCTCATGAACTGATCTGAGCTGAATTGGTGAGAAGAAGCACTTTCGGGTGTCCTCCCAGCCAGCCTGAAGAGCCTCCCCATAGGTCTGCCTGTTGATAGACAAGAGTGCAATGTTGGGCGCGTAGGCGGAGCAGCCTGTAACTTGGTGCTCACGTCCTCCATATAACAGTGAGGGGTGGCGTTGGTCGATTTTACTGCTGTCAAGCCAATTGCGGAAGCCCAAGCCGAGACGAACCTCAGCGTCCTTGGATGTAGTCAAAGGGTAGATTCGAGGACCGAGAGCGAATTCGAAGATCTTCATGCGCATCTCGGTCGGGAGGTCGGCGAGCCGAAAATATTTTCCATTGAGCCTCCACCATCTGCGCTGCGCCCTGTAGCCCTTTTCACCAACCAATTCTTTGGCGGGCGTCTGGCTGGAAAGAAGCCAGTCCTTCAACACAACCCATTCTTTACCAATCTTCAGATGTAGATTATTCTCCGTTGGGCCGGGCATTGCTGGGGCAAAAGTTACCCAAGCGGTGACTGGAAACTCATTGACACTGTCCACAAAGGTATACAGTTTGCTACAGTACGTAGTGTAGTCGGGTAAAGCCAGCCAGAACGGCGATGACTTGTCGGTAGGTTCTACTCAAAAGTTCATGGCCGCGACGCCGATGTGTTTGGCCTTCATGTCGCGAATAAGGCGTATAATATATCCTATGACTGGGTCGTTCTGGCGAGGTGCGGGTTCGAATGTGTACTTGTATTTCTCCTTTCCGTGATCGAGCATCTCCAGTTTATCAGAGGGTGGCGGACAGCACCGTACGCTGTTATAGCGGTTGATTGCCTCCCCTTTTCCATCATCATTCCTCGCTGCGCGAAGTAGATGGCGGATTCGGGTTTCCAGGTAGGGCATGGTTGTCGAAGTTGGCGATGGGGTTCGTGGACGAGCGTACTAAGTTGAGAGAACCGCTTGCGGGGTTGATGAGCGGAGTGGCGATGAGTTCACTGGAGGAGTACGAGCAGGTGTTGCGACATATGTAGTGGGCCTTCGGCGCCTAGCGTAAATGGAACGTAGGCTCCAGTCAAGGGGTCAGAGTTCATAGCTTGGGCGACAATGAATTCATTTTCGATGAGCTTCGAAGGGGTGACAGGGGCGGTTTCCGTGTACACGCCAATGTATCTGTGTCTGGGATCAGTCGAGTAGCAATCATGCAGACGGGTACACTAGGCAACTCGCCCAGGCTAGAGAGGATAACGGTTAAATTAATCAAGAACAGACGTTCCTCAAGCGGTACGGCAGATAGAAATAGCTCCTACTCCCAAGAACGCTCCAAGACAAACTGAGCTGCCTTGCACCATACTCACCACAACAGATAAGCGCCAACGAACAATGAAGCTATGGAAAGCCGTTGACTTCTCAGAATATGCGCCGCGCTGGTACCCTCTGTGCCACAGCATGACTGCTCATTGTACGTGACGTTGTTGGCCGTCGCAGCAACCTGGAAGACAGAGCCATTAAAGTTGCCATAGTTGTAGTAGTCGACGAGTATCCAATTCGGCGGACGAGCCCACATTTTCTCGCAGTTTTGTACATTAAGACCGACGCTACCGTTTCCGGACACAGCATTGATCTCATCGAGGAGGGAGTATGCTGGTATGAGAATGCTGCTCACGCCTGGGAGACTGACTTCGATGTTCAGGTTGTGGTTCATCACGTACATGCGCTCGCGTGAGACTTCTTCTGGCTGATTTGGGGGTCGTTGCTCCGTACAAGGGAACGCGGGATCGGTTGGCGAAAAGGGTGTTTGCCACTGATAGTTGAATTCGCTGAGCAACCACGGGACCTGTTCCTGGTCTGCGCCATAGTCCAACATCACCACGACACGCTTAGTCCTAATAATCATCTCGGCCAATGTGGGCCAGCCCGTCAGGTTCAGACTAGCCGAAGGCGGTGTCCATACGTATTCCATAATTCCTGAGTTTTGAAAAGGTGCGATATAGTCTGTCGCTGGGTTTCGGGTATCCTGACCGTTGTTGTTGCCCATCATGATAGCAATGACTTCGAACGGGTTCTGGTCGAGCCAGCCTTTGACCGTTGCGAGGTATGATTCGAGGGTGCCCACGTCGAGCAGGTTACAGGAGGTATGGCAGAGGCGTATAGCGGAGGTCTCGTTGGGTTTTTGGGTCTCGAATTGCACTGTCGTTGAACGTCAGCAGAGTTTCTGGTATCGTGTATGATGCGCTTACACCCTCGAACTCCATCATTGAGCTGATTAAGCACTGGGTAGTCTTGGTTGCTGGCTGCATTGTGCGGCCTCACGAATGGGCTGTTATGTGCGACGACCATAGAGATGTTAGAAAACCTTCTCTGGCAAAACTCGACGTATCCATTGCATGGCTGAGTATTAGTCGGGCTTGGACGAGCAGATGTCGTGGTCGATGAAGCAGTGCCGTTTGAGGATTCGGTCGAAGGAGACAGCCCGACTATGGCTGTCACCTCTTGTGTTGTCGTTGACGAGGTAGCGGTGGCATTCTGCCGTCCGGAGGTAAATGTGCTCAGGACAATGCCCGGGAGACCGCTCGAGAAGTCGGCGGAGTAGGTGCTCGTAAAGGTACTGGAGACATCGACGATTGTTTCCGTAGAACTGCTAGGTATAGGCGTATTTGGCGCGGAGGAGGGAGAAGACTGTGCGGCTATAGGTATTGTAAGTAGGGCCAAAGGGAAGACAAACAATGTAGGAATCATGAGGGCGATGCGAAAGAATGGCGAAATGCTAGTTAGCACGTGTTATGCAGTGTCGGCATACAATTGATGCTATGCGCTGCACTTATCGAGAGACGAGGTCAAGACAGTCTGCCTTACCAGCACTACGTTGGTGGTGCACCTTAGCTGACATTCGCCGGAAAGCACGATGACGGCATTGCTCGCCTCGAACGCCATCACACGTTGTGTCGGATCTACGCGGGGAAGGCTGAATGCGACCATCTCGAAGGCCTATCCGTCCTGGGGAACGCCTTTCGCGTTAATCGGAGATTTATGGGTCCAATAGCAGCCACGCAATGGTTTGACGTAGTAGACATTGACTGCAGTAGGGCTGGCATTGGCAGCAAGAGTGCTTGTGGCGGTTTTGGCGTACGCAGGTCTCAAGAGCCGCGTCGTGAGGCATTTTGACGCGTCATTAGCCTCCAAGACTGCGAGTCACGACCGATAGGAACAGTGAACGATGAAAAGAGTGCTGAGTGCTGATCTAGCTGTTGGCGTGTAGAGAAAGGCTGGGGTTAAGTACGCGACATTGAAGACGCCCAGCCTCGCGTGACACGCTAACCGTTTAAGCTTCACCTGGGCAGGGACTGAGGGTCAAGCCTCACGGAGGTCCACCCCAAATGCTTCAGCCCATGGAATACGAGCTTTGAGCCGACTAGGCACACTATTTCCACCAGAGATCTCCTCGCTTTTTCTGCCCTCTATTGTGTTTCTTCATTTCGGGCGGCATTCACAGACAACTCCTGGAGGGCACTTGGAGGGCTCGTTCTACCTAGGTAGCCTCAACAACAAAGAGCATGCCGGACGAGCCTACTGAACACTCCGACATTGGAGACACAGAAATGGACTTTCAAACCGGAAAATGATCAACATTAATTGTCACATAGAACTCGCGCTTCTTCCTGTCATCATTCTACTGATCCCAACAGCCGTAACATCGACCCGGGTCCACCTCACATCCGGATTCGCCACAAACCTCCATCTACCATCTGATCGACGAAGAAGGCAATGCGTTTTGGACTCACACTAGGGGCCTGAACTCAGTTCAGGCAATCTCTCACACGAACACCCTCTTAACCCCAACCTTAACACAACTCGGCGGATCTAGCAAAAGCAGTCAGCACAGTCCCACCACCCCAACATCAACATCTACCGAAAAAAGAAGAAAGCACCAAACTTACCAGGTTTCCCAACCCCCATCCCCCACACCAAAGTCCGCCGAACATACCCCGTTCCATAATACGTGAAGCAAACCCACCAGCGATAGTACCCGATCCACTCACCCATTTCAGGTTTCTCCGCCCCCCAAGTAATCGGATTCTGGAAGTTGAGTATGTCGTTGCTGTCGAAAGAGAGGCTGCCGTCGCCACTGTAGGTCATGGCCAGTTGGGCAATGGACAAGGGGACAATGTCTTGGGGTTGGAGGAGCACGGAGAGGTCGATGGGGTAGGGGTCGTAGGGGATGGTCCAGGAAAGGATGCCTTGGGTGCCGAAGATCTGGGTGGGCGTGTTAGTGGATGTGGGGATGGGGGCTGTGGGTTTCTTTTGGTGGTCGGTAGGGCTGATGAGGAAGACAGGGGAGGACTTAGATGGGAGACGTGCATTTGTTATAGCAGTGTCCGTTGTGTTGTGGGTCAGGACAACGGGATACTGGGCCCCTTCTTCTGAAAGCGTGGGACAGAGCGTGAAAACTGCTGCACCTGCATGGCATGCAGATAGTGTTTTGCCGTTCAGGGAAGGATCTTCGGATATGAGGACGAGATTGAAGGGGTCGGATTGTACGGTGTAGATGGGTTCACAATCGTATTCGCAATCAGCGTCAGCGTGAGTGAGAGCTGCAAAAGCAAGAAGTATAGGAACAAGTTTGAACATGGCGGCGGTAATCTGGACGGTGCGTACAGGTGCAAATTGAGCCAGAAAGCTAGGGAGAAAGGACCCTGGCTTATAGATATCCATAGAGGCGACCTTCGATCACATCACGGTGATTGGCATCTGTCAGAACGTACACGTGGAACGGATTGCGCATGTCAAAAGAGTGTCATTATCTATTAGCATTAGTTGCGTAGCACGTCAAGTCGTAAATCCCGATTGGTCCTTCCTCCATCTCTTCTCTTCTCATCCAACCATTACGGAACAGATTCTTCCATCACAATTTTCTGCTCTAGACAAACACCCTCGTCACGTTGACCGAGACACAGGTTGGGTTGTCTGGCTTGCCCGCACCCAATCCCCATGCCAGGTTGTTGTACCTGTAGCTGGCATAGTCCGTGTCGCATGCATACCAGCGGTAGAATTCCTGATAGTTGCCTGTGTTGTTCTCGCCGCGAACGTAGCCTTGATACGTAAGTTCGTCCTGGGAGTCGAAAGCCAGCATAGTCGTATCGCTTCCGCTTCCGGGGCTGAGAGTGATGCCTGCAAGGTTGGAAGTTGGGTCGAGGTTGAAAGCCGCTGAAGAGGGAATGTCGAGGGTGGTGGTGTTCAACCACCATGTCAAGATGCCTGGTACGCCGAAGCCGTCCTCCGGTGCTTGAGAGTAGACGGATGTGTTGAATTGGAATTGTGCGCCGTCGAGGGGTTCCGGGCTGTCACCTACGCCAGCATTGCTGAGGCAGAGTGATTCGATGGCTGCACCGACGTGACAGGCGCTTAGCGTGTCATTGACCTTTCCGTCTTCGGATGTGACGACTAGAAAGAATGGTGCAGAGCTGATGTTGTAAAACGGATCCTGTGCGCTCGTAACGGCAGCTGCTGCAAGGGTGAGGGCGATGGATGAGGTTTTCATTTTGGATGATGTCGGTTAATCTCGTAGGTGGTCGATGCAGTGATAAAGTCTGAGGTATGCTAGGCGTTGATCGAGTATGTAGGAGCTGATGAGTGCAGTTTACCAGCAACGGCACGGTCGAGCTTTATACTCACGATCATCCCTCGTAGTCGCCGTATTCGCGCAGCCTCATCGCAGCTCCCTCCAAAGGTTCCACCTGCGCAGCAGTCATGTGTTCCACCATAACGGGCCCCAGCCAGCCCATGACGTTCCGCTACCCGTTAGCTTTGGCCGCCTTGCCACACCCACGATGATCCCTTCCAGTCGGCTGCATTCGCTCCGTATGCAGTACCGCACGGCATGCCCGATGAGGGTCAGCGCTCCTCAATCAGGGCAGTTATAGATCAACCCCGCGCGTTAGCGAGCGAAGCTTTCCCCAGCCTGCCGGATAAGTCTTGCATAAGTGCCACAAGTGCCACAGCCGCACAGGGCCTCAGGGTGCATGTAGCGTGAGGATCAGCTGTCAATACGAGGGTCGAATCGATAGCTCAGTACCGAATCTGCATGTGAAAAAAGTAAAGGTGCGGCGAAAAAGCTGTGTTCGTGAGCGTGAGCAATATGAGAGGCATCATAAGCACTGCTTTGGAAGGCTGATTAAGCCTAGTACGAGGTCGTATATGACCTTGCTCGTGATGTGCTGATGCATTCAATATTGTGTTAATTGTGCACCCTCGTACGATGAAGATGATGGTGGAGAGTAGAATGTTGCTCTCCGTCAATGACGCAAGGGTTCAGGCCGGTTGTAAGCCGGAGTTACCCTGTTAGCGTCAAAGCTTATCGATTCTAAACTCGCCGGAGGTGTGACATCGTCTACGGCTTCAGATTTACACCCTCACACCAACTACGAGATGAATGGCTTTGATCGGGATACTGCCTTTGCGATGGTCGCCTTGATTCACTACGCTTCCGCCAGCACCTTCCGGATACGAACTGACCGGTCGCAGCACCTAATAATATACAGAGCGCCGGACGCGTAGAATACTAAGAACAGAGCTACGAAGCCATTCTCGAGCCACCGTTGCAACTCTATACTCCTAGGGTGAGGTAAGGACTTACGATTACATACTACAGACCGTATGTATGCTTGAGAACATTATTCCATCGACATCAGAGCGCTGACTGACGACAGGCGCAGTATCGCAATAGCCCTTTCGATAAACTATGATGCAACCACTGGACACCCACTCCTCGTATACGCGCAACACGTAGCTTCGTCATAAAACCAACTCCGGCAGCCGATAAGCCACCACACTAGCGATGTCTTGCTCCGCCATCATATCCACTGACACCCAGCGCAGTGGCCGGCTCGTCGTCAGCATGTGCGCTCCTCCTCTCGGCCGAGTCCCGCGATACACCCTCATAAGCAGGTTTTGGTTGCGTCCAGTACCAACAGGCCCATGTGATCCAGCAGAAGATGACATCGAATCCCACGCTGCTCACTGCTGGGTGTTCTAGCAGAGCACTTTGGATTCCCACAAAACCACCATAGGCATACGCTGTTGCGGTAGTCCATGCCAGCATCAGTCCGGCATTCCCTAGGACTAGTGCCCACATGTAGTTGTAGACCTTATCGGTGAATTGGATATCCTCGATGAAGGATGAGGCCGGTACAACAGCGCGTGCAATGGGCAAGAGCATCAAAGCGATGTGTGGAGCCATGAGTACCGGCATGAAGTGTGTAGGGTGATGCCAGTAGTGTTCATCTGCTAGTTGCATCGCGGGATAAGCAGTTGCGAAGATGGCGAAAAGGTTTAGGAGCCATAGACCTAGCCACGTTTGCCGGCGCGAACCATATGACGATGGAGCTGGTGCCGGCGGGCTCAATAGTAAGGTGAGCATGAAGAGGTTTGTAGCAAAACTGATGGCCACAATCTGGCCAAGCAGCATGAATGCCCAAGTATATCGAATGCCACGACGTATTCCTAGATATGTTAGTCATGGTTGTCAAGTAACAAGTATAATCTTCTACCTTTCTGCTCCAAATACAACCCCAGACCCAATGCGAAGAAGAAGATCTGGTGTGACCACCAGTACCTCGCATATCCGATGATGACAGTCTCCCATGCCTCTCGAAACAATGAAGTCTCTTTCAACCACAACCCCCAGTGATTCTGGTCAGGTTCAAGCTCGTAGTAGCTACGCCACATCAGCCAAGACTGATAGCTGACCTTGAAGTACTGGAACATGTGCGTCCATGTGGTGAGCAAGCTGCCCACGGCAAGTGCACTGAACAACCAGACATGTCTTCTTGGTGGGAGCTGTGCGGTAGTTGACTTTCGCAGCACACTTGCTCTTTTGACAAGTCTTAAGATGATGAAGACCGCGACAGAGAAGCATGTCAACAGATAGGAAAAGAAGATGGCATAGGGCCGGGTGTTGGTATCGGACCCTTCTGGGGGCGGTTCGCGATGCATGGAGCGGTGCGGGACAGAGTATCCAGGCGGCCCGAATCCTGGAGGGGCCATCGTGAGACGATTTTCGAGGTTTGTTGGGCAGCCATCACGTACAGTATGCTCTCCAGCCTTTATGGTGCCGTCGGCAGTGACGAAACGTGTCAAGTGCGGATCAAAGGGCTCTTCTGCTTTGCCGGCAATGTGTATTGATTAACGGCTATCTTGGGACTGAGCTCCTAGAATGCGGCCGCGGTCGGTTGTTGCGCCAATGATGGCGTGGCTGACGCAGGGATGGCCACTCTCCACAACACGTGCCCAGGTGCCTCGGTGCCAAGGCGCCAGTGAGATCGTCATGTTTTCCCAGGTCCGTCGCGGTCTCGTCTTCGAAGATTCTCGTCCCTTGTTTTGCTTCAAGTAGCTCTCTTCCCCTGTGCTAACCTTCGCTGTTGCTCTCTCGCACATTCTCCTACTCTGTCACGACAAACTGCAAACGCCAAACCTCACAACACGGTGATGTCAGGCACACGGACCATTTGAGCTTTGCAAACCCTGATTGGCTGTTGTTTCATCATTTGGACCTCACCGCCACGCCCAAGCTACCAGACGCCCAAGTTGCGTAGCTCTGTCGATATTTTCCAGTCATCTACTGTGGTGTTTGAACATTCATTGAAGCTGTCGCCGCGATGACCGATACACCGCAGACCACGGCGGGTGCCAACCCCAAGGAAGCCAGGGTCCTAGAGCAGCATCTAGACCCAAGCTTCGACTTCTCAGAGTTTGACCCAGCGACGCCAGCGGCAGAAGAGGGCGCAGATAACGCCTCCAACTCGGGCGACCGCCAGCTTCCGGAATCGTCGTTGCGGTTACAGGGTGGCGACATCCACCGCGACCTGTACAAGATTGCGGCACAGAACAGACGGCAAAAGTTGCACCAACGAGCAGCAACCTTTTCCGATGCAGTTCACTTTGGCCGCAACCCTGCTCCGTCAATTTCAGACGTTGACCATGACGAACTACCCGTTCGCGACCAGCTCGCACCCGGCGGCCTGAGACGCCAATACTTACAACGGCAAAGCAAGCGTGTCAGCTACATCTCGGAGCCTGTTACGCGAAACTTCATTTCGTTCCTTGAACTGTATGGCCAATTCGCTGGTGAAGATCTTGATGAAGATTCGTCGGATGCGGAATCTGCTGTTGAAGAGGAAGATGAGGGGCAAGGCGAGCGGAGACCACTTCTCGGACGCCGACAGAGCTCGAAGAGACTGAGGGCTCAGGGTGATGCGGACCAAGTCAAGACCTTCTTTACTCTCCTAAAGGCGTTCATCGGTACCGGAATCATGTTCTTGCCCAAGGCCTTCAAGAACGGCGGAATGCTGTTTTCGTCGATCACCATGATCATGGTTTCTGCCATCACAGCGCTGTGTTTCGAGTTGCTGCTGGCGACAAGGAAGAGGTACGGTGGTGGTGGTTACGGTGATCTGGGTTCTATTGTTGTGGGACCGAGATTCCGTGCCCTCATTCTGGTCTCCATCACACTCTCGCAAATCGGCTTCGTATGCGCTGGTCTCATCTTTACTGCGGACAACCTTCGATCATTTCTGGATGCTGTCACTCACGCCGAGGAGCCCCTCTCGACCAATGCGCTCATCGGTATTCAGATCGCTGTTCTGATACCCATGTCCTTCATCCGGAACATCTCCAAGCTCGGACCTGCCGCTCTTCTCGCCGATGTCTTCATTCTCATCGGCCTGACGTACATCTACTGGTACGATATCTCATCGATCTCCAAGATGGGCGGTTTCAACCCGTCTATCGAACTCTTCAACCCCCGCGACTTTACTCTGACTATAGGTTCCGCCATCTTCACCTTCGAGGGCATCGGCCTCATTCTTCCCATCCAGTCCAGCATGAAGGAGCCCGAGCACTTCAGCAAGCTCCTCTACATCGTCATGCTCATCATCACCGTCATTTTCACGTCCGTTGGTGTCCTTTGTTACGGAACCTTCGGCGAGAATGTCTCCGTCGAGGTCATTACCAACTTCCCCCAGACCAGCAAGCTCGTCAACGCCGTCCAGTTCCTCTACTCCATGGCCGTTCTCGTCGGTACACCGGTGCAACTCTTTCCCGCTATGCGTAACATTGAGCTCAAGATCTTCGGTCGCGCATCCGGCAAACAGAGCAACATGACCAAGTGGAAGAAGAACGCCTTCAGGACCAGTCTCGTCATTCTCTGCGGTCTCATCGCTATTCTAGGAGCTAGCGACCTCGACAAGTTCGTCGCGCTCATTGGAAGCTTTGCCTGTGTACCTCTGGTGTACATCTACCCTGCCTACCTGCACTACAAGGGTGTCGCCAACCGTCCTTGGGAGAAGTTCGGCGACATCTCCATGATGGTTATCGGTGTCGTTGCCATGGTGTACACTACCAGTATTACACTCGCTAGGTGGTCTGAGACCTAAGAACAGAAAGAGGGGGGATTGGAAGAGTACAGAAAAGTCCCTTTACAGTACGGTGGAAGCAGCGTCACTATTGCATAATTTGTTTCTCGCACAGCGTTCAGGTGGGTGGGGGAAAGGGATGTCTTTGTATGGTATTTTTAACGCGCGCATGTTACAGTTACGTGTAACGATAATGGCATACTAGTACGAACTCGTCTTCTCGCATCTCCCCTGTGGCGAGCTCTACAGCTCAGTTATCTCGCTTCCCCTCTCACAAGCGTCTTACTGCTGATCAACATTGAACGCGTCTTGCAACCTACGCCAGAACGGGAACACCTCTCTTGATGCCCAAACTTCAAGAAGGCAAATAATAACACAAGCTGCGACAAACAGTATGAGAAGCCCGACGAAAATGTCGTAGAGGTACCGCCAGGCGACGAGCATTACCATGTCCATTAGTGTCATATCAACATCATCAGGCTCAACATCACCCAACCACGCATTCGCAGCCTCTATCTCCTCTCTCGTCATCCTCATCTTAACTTCCGCTTCGGCTTTCTCCTCCTCCCTAATAGTCCTCTGTTCTTCCCTCTCTACACCCCGCCAAATCTCCGCCAAATCCTCCAATCCTTCTCTTTTCATCTCAAACCACTTTGTCCGACACAGTGGACATTTATTGCTATTCGGCATTCCTGATGCGAGCGACTTGCGCAAACATTGGTATCCGAAGATATGGTCCACGCAATGTGGTGTGTTGGTGATGAGAACGGGTGCGTGAGCAGCGTGGAACGGGTCTTGGCAAATTCCGCATATCGTGCCGGGGGTGGGATAGAGGGGGTGTGAGGGCAGGAGCGGGAGGAGATTTCCGGCCAGGAAGGTGGGTAGGGTGGTTGTGGAGGTTTGGAATAGTGTAGGAGGTACAACAGGCCTACGCTGACCTGGATTGGTTCTTGGTAACGGGGTAGGGTCAAGGAGTGTTGCAGTGACGGAAGGGGGAAAGATTTCAGTTAATGATGGTGGGGTATAGTCTTCTGGTGACGCAGCGGGTTCTGATTGTTGTATGGGAGAAGACGGGCGGTATGGTTGGCTTGGGTCTATTCCTCCGAAGCGGTCGCGCCTGCCTCCTGGATAGAGATCAAGCGGTGAGATTCTCTCGTGATGGATCCAGTAGGGGCGGGTGGTCGGATGGCTTTCGCCGGTTTGGGGAGGGGGAGGAGAAGACATGTTTGCAGCTTCGGTGGTTGAGTGCTGTGGTTGCGGTGGGGGGATGGTTATAGACGTTTTTTACGTTGAGAAATGTTCACTAGTGGGTGAAAATGGGCGATGGAATGTGTAGCTGCATGGAGAAGTCTAGTCGAATGGCTCGTGCACTGTCTTTCATTGCTTTGGCCTACTGCCCACTTCACCGTACCACAAGCCCCCTCTCGAGTGATGAGAGCCTGCAGTTGAAGATTCACCTCAAGCTAATCTAAGGCTACAACGTGAGCCGAGAAAGAGAGATACCCAAGGAACCAGCTACACGCATCTAAACTGCGTTCTTCTCCACTTCTGCCCTCGGATCATCGACAACCTCCCACTCGTCGTCCGCGTCGATCTTGTCCCACTCCTCTTCGTCCGAGTCCAAGTTCAGCGTCTCGAACTGGTCCTCGGGAACCTCCTCTTCAGGGGCCTTGGACTTATCTATAGCCAACACCCTGTCCAACTCGGCACGGGCAGCGGGATCCGTTTGCACCGAAGCGAGATTCTCGACTGCGAAACGCGATTTGATAGTTTTGGTAGTAGTCTGGCTCCTGACGGGCAACTGAGTCCTCCTACCTTCCACATCAGAGGGGTTGAGGGAGTATGTCGGCACATCGCGTTTGGCAGGTGTTGTGGGGGTTGTGCTAGTCGTCGGTCGCGCACCAACCTTGCTCTGAGCGCGCACCGCTTTCTTAGTAGAGGTGTCTGTCTGTGGTCCATTCCTGAGCATCTCCAAAAGCTCGGGGAATGAGAGTCCGACTTTGCCCATATCCGCGACCATTGTCTCGATCTCTGCTTCAGTGTATTTTCGCTGGCG